CACCAAAAAAGGAAAGGATTTACGCCAAGGAGAAATCCTGTATAACTAAACATATCGGTCTGAAATTCACACGTTTGTTAGAATATAACCATTCGAATCTGCTGCTTAAAAAATTTTTATTATACAATGCTTCCTTCTTTCTCAAAACGAAGTGGCGCACCACTAACAGACAATGAAAAATTAATGATAATAAATACGCATAATTATCTCTCTAAGGTTAACTTTCCAGAAGAAAGCCATCCGAAGTCCACATTACGCAAGCGAGTTGCTGAGGCACTGGGTGTTGCAGAAAGTACAGTTGGGTGCGTTGTGGCAGACTGGAATAAGCGCAATGACGGTACATTTACACCACATAAAACACTTGGACGGCCTAAATTTCAAACTGATGATGATGTTTCAGAACTTTTGCGTACAAAAATTTTGAATTCCAACAAAACTGCAGAGCAAGTTTCCACACCTGTTCTATGTCAGTTTCTTTCTGAAAATGGATATACATTTTCTAAGTGGAAGTTGCTTTGGGTACTTCATCATTTGGGCTATTATTATGGCCAAGGAGAGCGAAGAAATATTCTTCATGAGTCACCAAATAATGTTGCATTCCGTTGTCGCTATCTCAGGTTTCGTTTTGCCAATTTGGAAGGCCAAAATGATGTTCCACATCGTCCAGAAGTTTTCCTTGATGAATCATATTGCCATTTACATCATATTTCACGCAATACATGGGTTCCTCATCAAGGGGTTGTCTTATCACCTGGGCATGGTCCACTGGTAGTAATTTTTGGAGCGATTATTGTATTCTGAAATGGGTCCAGTAACAAATTACATGGTGAACTGGTTCCAAACTCTGTTCATATTTGGGATCCAAGAATTAAACCACCAGGAAACCGGGGACGAAAAAGAAGCAATGCTGAAGAATGGAATGATGTTCCCAATGTTGTCAAAGATGCCAATATTGTTCCGAATCAGATGGATTACCATGGGAATTTTAATGCAGAAATTTTTGAAGATCTTTTTTCGACACTGTGTGAAACACTTCATGAAAAATACGGACCGGTAAATATCCACATGGATGGGGCAAGCTATCATAAACGTCAGGTTGAAAATATTCCAACTTCAAGCACAAAAAAACAAGAAATAGTGGAGTGGCTAACTGCTCACAATATTTCTTTTTCTAATGAATTACGAAAACCTGAACTATTGGAACTGGTTCAGATGCATAAGGAAAAGATATCATTTACATGTGTTGAAATAGCAAAACAATATGGCCATGAAGTTTTTTATACGCCACCATATAACTGCGAACTCCAGCCAATTGAAGGTGTTTAGGCAGTTGTAAAAGGTGAAGTTGCAAGGTCGGGACCGCATCCAAACTTATTATCAATTCGAAATACACTTCTGGACGCATTTAAAAATAAAATTAATTCAAAGGTTATACTCGGATTGTGGAGAAAAACGCTTAAAAATGCTAAGGCATATTTTGAGGCTGATGAAAATGCAAATTTAATTGGTGAAGAATCAGATGATTATAGTGACACCGATGATGATGTATGATTTAATGTAAACAATGATATTATAATATTTCCGAATATGTACTGATAAGATTTACATAAAAAAAAATAAAGTTCACTTAATAAAAAAATTTTTTATTACCATTTTTTTTGGTGTACGAATCTTTTTGCACCGGACCATAATACAAAATAAAATAAAACTGAAAGAATACTTGAGGATTTACAAGAAACATCTAATTACATAACAACTGAACAAGATTGGACTGAACGTCTGAATGAATGGAATGAGCTATTAATGGAAGAAGAAAGAACACAGAATCTGAATGTTACAGAGGAATCATTAAATTGTAGTGATAATGATCTATTAAATTCATATATCCACCCTGCTATTAATGCTGATGTAAAGTGGAACTTACAAGATCTTTTTATTAAAGAATTGGAAAAGCTAGAATTTATATCTATATCTTCAGAATTTTAAAATTTAGTAACGCTAATATAAATTTGTAATTAATATTTATTTTATATAATGTTTACCAGAATTAGTTATAATTTTAGCTCGAATTAATTTAATAATCACGTGATCTGTCCAAAACTTGTCCAATGAAAAAAGGTTTTAGTTTTAGACAGGTTTTGGACAGGGGTTTGAACAGATGTCTAAAATATCAAATTATCCAATTGCCCAACACTAGTTTTTTACGATCACTGGATACCAAGATAATATGCGAAACGTCAAATGGCGTAGTATTGCAAAATATAAAATGCTAATTTTTGACGTTTTGCTCAATATCTCGGCATCTGGTGATCATAAAAAGATGATCTAACCACCATTTGACTCGTTGTTATGAGACTATTCCAACGAGTTATGGTGCATCTTTCTATGATCATTGGATACCAAATTATTAAGTGAAATGTAATATTTTTAGAGTTTGACAATTTTAACATATTGAAACTATTTCAGCATTTCAGCATTTTGACAGGTTTTAGTTTCGACATTTCAACAATAGCCTATAGAGTTTCGGCAGGCAACTTTACTCAAGACGGTCTGGAGAAGTGTATCGCCCAGAATAAGCAAGCTTAGAATAACGACAAGATAAGAACACTTTTAAGCTACTTTTATTAAGTGGAATATGAAACTTTGAACATGGAAAAAGCAACCAACAAACTCCTTATTAATGAAAATTTTGTGGAATTTTTATTAAACAATACTCTTTATATCAACGAGCTCTCATTTTTTGAAATACTTGACCAGGCTATCAAGAAGCATGTGGATACTCTACAATACAAGAAACACCTGTTTAGAGTTTACTTTTGGGATACTTTCACTAGTCTACTGGAATGCTTTGAACGTGACCTTTAGCAACATCCTTTACCTTCCATCATGAAAATAACATAGCCACACTTCCTGATTAAGCAACAACAAAAATTACCAATCAAAACACCTTCTAAAGACTTCTGAATTAGATCATGTACTTTATTTAACGCGTTTTTTACTACATTTCAAAATCTTTCAATGGCACAACAAACAATTACCAATTACGACATACCCTTCTCCTTTTATTCATATTCAAAATAGTTAACTAATTACAGCTTTCTCAACGATTTTAACAGTCTCATTTTCGGCTTAACGTTTACCTGATACTGTGAAACAAATTGTGGATTTATTTTTAAACAGATACCGCGTACATGTCTGAGCCTCATCTTTAGTTGTTTCTTCGCTCCAAGGTATACTTTTCGTCAAAATGACAAAATACTAATTAAATTTATTTTGATAGATGTAATTAATTCATAGTAATTTTATAATAAATAGTGAATTGATCTGTTTGCCAAAATATGATGTAATTAATTAGCGAAGAAGTATACTTCAAGGAAGAAGAGGGATCACAACAAACTTACCAGTAGACCCCAGGATTCTTGTGTTTTTCTAATTTTTTATATAGATTTTTATAATTTCTTACAGTTTAGTTTTTTGTTTTTCTTTATTATTTATATAATTTTTTGGATAGAGCTTTCAGTCAATGACTACAAATTGTTATGATATGGAAAAAGCTACTAGTGTTTGAATCTTTTAGCTGTGTGTCTAAACATCCTATAGTAGATATCTCAGCTTGTTACAATTTTTTAACCTCCTTCTGCAAATGGAATTTAACTCACTCTTGACTAGCATTATCCTATAAGCGTATGGACTCTTTTATCTATTGCAAGTTGGTCTTAAAATATGATCGTGCGTTAGTGGGATCTTATGATTTGAATAGATGGAATTGCCCAACACCAGAACTAGTTAATTTATGGGAAAAGGGATGATCTGGATTGGCTATTTTCTATTATTTTATAAGAATCTCAAAAATTATTATTTTTTTCTTTTTTTTATTTTTATCTGTAATGTAGTGGGTCCCGTAATTGCCTTGTGAAAAAAGAGGGCATTTATGCTAAGATAGGACGTTTCAAATACTTCTTACCTTTTGAGTGAAGCGTATTACTTGACAGTGCATACGTGAGGTGCTTCAGATATGACGAGTAATTTGGTAATTAATAATATTAGTTTAGATTTAAGGTTTTATTTACTTTTGTAATTACTTTAACATTTATTTTAATAAACTATCAAATGTATTGCGATAAAAAAAAAAAATAATAATAATACCACACTTTTATTATATAAAATTAATAGTTTAGGTTAATAAGTTATTCAGGTTATATTGATGTTACAACCTGAACTGATGCTAAATTGCAATTGCTAAATCTGAACTGATAAATTCAGGTTAATTTGTCAAGTTACCTGAATTTGGTCACCTGTTTGGAACTCTATCATTGAGTAACAAAAATATAGAAAGTATTTTATAAGTTCATAAATTATAATAAATAATAAAGAATTGAATATAATTAGTTTTATTTATTATTTTTTTATTGGTTTATATTTAATAATAATAGTGCAATAATGCATTTATTATGTAATTATATAATTTTTTTGATATAGTAATAAAATTTTATTTTTATTTGTTATACACTATAATAAATTTTTTTGCTATAATAAATTTTGATTTTTAGCTTATAAAATTCATTATAGTAAGGTGAACTGTATATATTATATAATATACTAATTTATAATTTGGAGGTAAAGAGTATTAAATTTCATTTAAGGTATTTAGGATGAAAATAAATTCAAATATATTTATATTTAAAATTAGTTTTATTGGTTATTGCAGTATTTCTAATAATTTAAGTTATTAAATATTGGTCTATAATAAATATTTTTATTTATTCATCCAATAACTATTTATTATAAATTGCAATATTACTATTGTAAATATGAAATAACCCATTTTTATACATTTTTTAAAGAAAAATAAAATTTATTTATAAAAGAATAAAAAAAACAGAGAATAACTATATTTAACTAAGGACTATATAATTCCTAGTTTTCCCCCAGTTAATATTAGCAACACTCTCTAAAAAACAAAAAAATATATACTGTATAATGTTTTAACCTAAAGTCTATAAATTAGTACATTTTATAAATTATATATATATGTTTAACCAATAAAAATGGACCATATTTCAAGACCATATTTCAGTACAAAATCTAGTAAAAAAAAGTTTCTTTTAAATATAAAAGAAAAAAGAATTAGAATTTGTTATCTGTCTTTTACTAAATTTTAGTTCACTTATCATTCCATTATTTTAATTTTTATAGGAATTATTATTATTTTATTATTTTCATTCATAAAAAATAGTAGTTTCTCCCTCAACCCATTTTTCTGCTTAGTCAATAATTAGTTTTTAAGAAATGCGACATTTATCACGATTATTAAAACTAAAAGGATTTTGTTCTAATTGAAGTACTTTTTTAGTTTGAACTTCAATTTTAGCCTCCATTTCAGCTAACCTCTGTTCGGATTTCCTCTTTTCCTCTTCATACCTTTTCCTTTCCGCCTCCGTTTTTATTTGTTCCTCTGCTTGGAATTTTTTTAAATCCTCTAATTCTTTTTTTATTTGTTCTTTTTCCGTTAAATAACTACTAATTCTTTCATTTAATCTATCTAAACTAATTGGACGATAATTGCCACAATCATAGATTAAATGTTTCAATAGTCTTTCTCTAGAAACTTCCCGAATTTCCTTATTAGTGGCGGCTGAGCGACCTTTTACTGGTGGATTATCAACATGAATTAACTTATTACATATTCTAATTAATTCGGCCAATTTCTCATTTTCTTGACTGATTTTTTCTTTATCCTCTTCACACCTTCTTTCATCCTCAAAATCAGTAAAGCGTGTTCTTACAATAGTGGTATAACTATAAATATCTTCGTTAAAAATAATCTGCTTTAATAGATTGTAAGTTTCTAATTCTTCTTCGGTAATCCTTCCTCCAATTACAAAAAAAATTTGATTTAATCCTTCTCTTACTTCGTAGCAGGCTTTGGCTACTCTGTTTAAGACATCTTTTGATTTTAGTTTGGTATCCCCAATTCCTACTGTATCAATTACTCGATATTTGATTCCTTGATACCCAAACGTTTCTAATTCTAATTCTTTTGTTTCGCTAACACTATCTTCAATTTCCCTAAATTTGTTTGTTCCACTAATTACATTAGCAAGAGCAGACTTGCCATTGCCAGTGCGGCCGATTAATAAAATATTTCTTACTCCTGACATAATGTTATATTTTAAAACTCGTTTAATAATATTTATTTTTTTTAAATAAATGGTAAAGGCAAGAAGAAAGCTGATATTTTTTAATTAGCAGATAAAGGATCCTATAAATACAAAAAAAAGAAATTGTATTCGTAAGCATTTATTTCATCCGTTATCGGATTTTCATAGACTGATATTTTTGTCAAGAGTAACAATAATACATGATTATGCATTATTGAGCGGAGTAAAAAATACGGTGTAAATGAAAATTTTTATAGTAAAGCTTATACAAAAGTGGATTAAAAATAACATAAAAACGAAATCTACATAAAAGTTAAACAAAGCTGTTATAAATTAATGTTCGATCCAAAACTTCAAATCATTCGGTCCTGTGACCGATATAGAACATATAGTCCCACATAAAGTGTTACCATTTGATATAAATAAGCCTTATATTTAAACTTTCTATAAATTTCCACTTTTATAAGCTTTATTTAGACTTTTCCTATAAAGATTTTCATTTGTACCATTCTTTTTTACTCCACCTTATTATATCAATTATGCATAATCATATATTATTGTCATTTAACAAAAATATCGGTCTAGAATGAGCGATAATATATTTGTCGGCTGTAATGAGATGCTGAAACGATTCACGTGATTTTGTGATTTCCGCTATAGATGATATGCAAGATTTAGATTTATTGAAAGTGGAGACAATTCAAATATATGATAATCGTAAAACATTGTTATAAATATGTTAAGTACATATAGTATAATGCGTAGCGAGTGACAAAAACGCGTAATAACACGATATAAAATGTGTTTAAAATGCAGAAATGACTTCAATCGTATTATCATTGGAAGAGTTAGAAGCAGCAGCTTCAACAATGCATGTTATGCATGTTAGTAAATCGAAAATGGTTTCAAGTAGCTATACTATGTTTTCGAAATAAATTACTGAATATCAACTAGATGATTCATTATATTCAATATTATTTAAATGATTTTTAATTTAAAGAATTCTTAAGGATGAATGGAATAGATGAAATTGAAATATTATCCCATCTCAACCTTTAATTAATTATGATTCGCTTAAAATGAAAAATATGGAGAATTTATAGTATGAAAGATGATACTTATCATCATTTAATCGAACAAGAAATAGAAATTTAAAATTAATAATTAGTAATACTTCAATTCGTCACCTCCTATTAAATGAATTACATCGCGATACACCATTAATAGATGTATTGATTATCACAATTATGTAGGAATGTTGAAAAAATTGGTTATTGAATAACAAAATTTGAGAGAATTAATGAGAAATCATTATACAAAAGACATTGTTGAATTTTTTAAAGCATTATGTAGTGATTCATCAAATTGATTTAGAAAATTGTCAATTAAATAATGGATAGACAATCATTGAAGTCATTAAAAAATTGATAACACCAAAAGGGAAATTCTTTGATTTTTATATCCCTTTTGATATTTATGAAATTATTATTTTAAAATATCAGGAACGGGGCATAATTGGAAAATTTCATGGATAATTGAGATTAATACTTGATAGTTTTTTTTTTTATAATAATTCGATGTTATCATTATGGGATTTCTGTAATAGAAAAATTGGTAAAAACTGAAGTATAATTAAATATCCTAATTTTCTTACATGGAATACATGCATTAGAAATTTAGAATAAATAAAAAACTTAACTAAATTTTATATTAAGATTATTATTTATTACGATTGTAATAAATATTAATTTTATTAAGCTAAGAAATATAGACAATTCAATAATCGCTCTATATATTCGTAAAAACGTGAATAACTCTAGCCTTTTCCGCTTTCTCATTTATTTTACCCTCGTCTTCCTATTCCACTTTCATTTTCCTTTTTTCTTTATTCAAATATTAAAAACTTTTTACATAATATAATAAATCGCACAACTCATTGTGAAATAACTTCACGTCAACTTGTATAATTTATTAAATTTAATCAATTGATTTCTACTTATCAGATTGTCAATACTTATTCATTCAATCAATAAATCCAATAAATCTATTTGTTTTCAGCAATTATAGATTTTAATTTTTTAAAATTTTACACTTTTAACACAAGAATTTGATTTTAAACAAAACTATTTTTTTAAGACTTGACTCTAACTAGTTAATATTCCATTAATTGCATCATTGTTTTGTTACTTCTGTTCTTCAATCTTAATATTTCTGAATTTTATGAATGTTCCAATGACTTAATTGCTCCTAAAGCTTGAGCACAACTCTCTATGGTATTACAAATATTTTTTATTTCTGATACATCTGAAGTATTTTTCAATAGAATACTTAATTCCTCAAGTTTTGTTGATAGAGTCGAAACACATTTTCGTACCACATCATGCTGATGTTTGTTATTATCAGTATCATTTTGTTCCAAAGTTATATTATTAGTGTTGTTATATGATAACTGAACTTTTTTTCCAAGTTGTTGAATCGTAGACTGAATTGTTATATACAAAAAAAAAAAGAAAAAAGAGAATTATTAAGAAAAACAAGGAATATATATAAAAAGGAAGAAAGAGACAACATAATATTATTTGATGAAATTTTCTTGAAATTCATTTTTTAGTCGCTTACTCGCGTTGAGCTAATATTTTTAATCATCAAAAGATTCATATTTTAATTCTAAATTATCATATATTTATTTGTAATCTAATCTTTATTAAAAAATAAGGGAAAAAAATATCATACCTCAATCTCTTTAACATCAATTTGATGCTTTTTTTCATTAATTGTATCATTCTTAGCTGAAGATTGTAATGTCGTCAAACTATGTCTCGAAGAATCAAATTCTGATTCATTTAAATAATAATTTTGACAAATGACACAATATTTTCTTTTATCACGGGACCTAATCAAAGGTACCTTAAACAAATCGCAAAAATAATAATATTAATAATGTTACATATATATGAGCGTATATTATATATAAAAAAGTATAGCTTACACCGTAACATGTCTCATTTGGACAAATTTGATCAATTAAAGCCCATCCTTGTAATAAATTTTGACCAATTAAATGTGAAGCACGTTGTGATTGATCACGTTGAATTTTTAATTGTTGAAGCTCATCATTTTTATCATCCTTCATGTTATCAAGATCAAATTGTGAAGATGATGGCTGCTGAATTGAACCTACTTTATTATTAAATTTGTCATTATCATCAGTTCCATTAATCGTAGTTGGAAGTGGAGAAATGTTAGGTTGTTTTGTTTGTGATTTTAATTTCCCCGGTTCTTTATCACACAAAACGCAAAACCATATTGTACTGTCTTTAGAACGAAATAAAGGAACCTAAATTAAAGAATTTTATATTAATAATTATTAACAAGAAAATATAAATAATATTAAAATAATTAAGTACATTGCAATTTGGTGTAGAACAGACTGTGTCGGTCAAGACCTGATAATATTTCACACGAGAAAAAGTATGAATTAGTAACTGAGCAGGCAAATATAACTAAATACTAACGAATAAATAAGAAAAAAAAAACTTACCCAACCAGATAAAAGATATTTACCCATAAGGTTTGAAACGTGTTCTATTCCAGAATCCATGATTGCATGCTGTAGAAATATTAAGTATTGAAATTCGAAGACTAGGGCAATCTAGAAAATGTTCATATAATGTGAATTCGGTTACACTAATTCGAGTTACACTAGATTTGATCAGTTGATCCAACAATTTCATGTGACCTTTATAAAAATATTCATCTACAAAACTTAATAAATTAATTTTTAACAATCACCCTTCTGAATATTTACCTTTTAAAGAGAGAGGACGATATCATTATCATTAATCATTATGATAGAAGAGGATAATATATGGATTAAAATTATTATGCTTTGCTTCGCTCTAAACTTTTTTATTTATTAAATAATATTGACAATAATAAATGGTGTGAAATTATTATATACTGATAAATGGGTATAATGGTGGTATAAATGATTAATTATTATATAATATAAATTTTGAGAATCTGCTATCATGATTCAGATATAGAATCACTTCTAACATTAATAAATGTTTGTGAGTTATATTATTATATACTGATTATAATGGTATAAATGATTAATTATTATATGATATAAATTTTGAGAAAGTTTCCCGATCTGCTGTTCCGAATATCATGATTCAGATATAGAATCACTTCTAACATTATTTCTTACATAAGTTAAATATTCTTTAGTTCTAATAAATTTAGGTACGGAATCAATTGCTGTTAATCTGTAAATAACATCTTGAATTTTATCAAATAAATGACTAGTTATAGGATCTTTTCTATCAACATTATCAGCTATTGAAGTCATATATTGAGTCATTGGTTGACTTAAATTAAAATCAATATTAAGTTCATGACGAGAATTAGAAGCCAAAAAATCATTATAAATTCTAAAAGCATCTACAATTAAATCTTCTTGTTTAATTGGATCCCCATTCTCATTAATATTTGTACTATATTTAGTTTTAAAATTTTGAACTTCTAATAAGAATAATAAATTTTCTTCACATAAAATAGATTTTGAAAAGTCCATAAAAAGTGAGCATAAATTTTTATCATCTAAAATTTGTTGAAGTTTTCTAAAACTTGAAGGATGCTCTTTATTATTATTATTATTAACTTGATTTTCTTTTAATTCATTTTCTCCTAATTTATTAAATGTTTCTTGATTTTCCGTTTTAGAATTAAAACAATTATTTACATTTTCAGCTTCTGACAAAATTGATAAAGTTGAAGTTCTAGAGATATCATACTTCCATAAAGCAATTTGTTTACCTTTTTCCAAAATAGTATAATTATTAAATTTTGAATATTTTAATTTTGAATTATCATTCTTAGAATCATTCTTAGAATCTTTCACTTCTACATTATTATTATTATTATCATCAATAGTTTTTATAAGACCTCGACGTATAAATTCAGTTATGATTTTCTTTGCTTCTTTTTTTGAAATTAAAGTTGTAAAATCGCATAACCAATTATAAGCAGATAATCCAGAAAATGTACGATGTGTTTTATTATTAAATTGACGTTCTTGAAGTTCAATTCCAAGATTACGATCAATTGAAGAAGTAGTTTCATTTATAACATTTGGTTTTGAACCAGCAAACCTCCTAAAAACTGATTCAACATTTTGTTTTGATAATGTAATTGAATCAGTTTCATGATTTCTTTCAACAGCAAATAATCTAATTTTAGTAGGTTGAGAAGAAAATATTTTTAATAAATTAGGAACAACTTTTAGATTATTTATTGATATGAATCTTTCTAAAATATAAATTCCTTTTGGAGTAAGACCATAAATACTTTTATCTTTAAATGATCGATTATTAGGATCCGATAAATTTTCAAATAATCTTGCATCCATAAATGTTTGGCACGCAGCTTTTGCTGTACCTTTTGACATTGTAAATTTTGTGATAGTAGCGGTAGTTACAATTTTTGAAGGATCCTTTTGATCTGGCATACGATGTGTTCGAGTTAATTTTAATGATCCTAAATTTGCTATAGCTGCTTCTGTTGTAAATGAATTTGGATAATTTCCAGATGAATTTTGATGTGATTCCAATGGTATTGAAATAATCAATGTTGAAAACATATCATATAAATCCTAAAATATGATCAAATCTAAAATATAATTCAATCCATTTTTACGGGTTTTTTCATATTGAATAAGTAAAAAAAGAAAACACACCTTGACGAAAGGTCTCCCTGACTTTGTAGTTTCCATCACATGAGATGAACGCATTCGTTGAACTTGAGGCACTTTAGGTTTAGACTTAGAAAACGACATAATTGTATAAAAAAATTTTTATTTTTTTTTTCTTTTCTAAAAAAAAAAAAAAAAAAAANACGTGTGTATGAAATCTTTCCTATTAATTGACAAAAGAAAGAAAAAGAAATGAAAAAAGAAAAAGAAAAAAAAAAAACTAAAAAAATTGAGGAGATAAATATGTAAATATATTTATACTTTTTATTTTTATACACTTTATATTGTGTGTAAGAAAAAAAAGTTTATTTTAAATAAAGTAGCTTAACGTGTCTCGCAAAATTCCTTTTATATTTATTTAATTTATTTTATGTAATGTAAACAGATTTTCAAAGGAAATTCTTATCAGTTAGTGTTACTATCATGCTCAAACAATTACTTCTCCTTGTAAACATAATTAAAAAATTGATCTTTTTCGTTACCTTTTAAAGGCAAGTGGTAATTTCGGTATACCAAGTTTGTAATTACACAACTTCCGATGATAATCAATAAGCATACTATATATATATAATCTTTGTAAATTAAGAATAATTATGGTTCGATTTTTAATATATATTCATAGATGCATTTATAACAATAAATTATTATTCTTACTTAACAATGAAACTATAAAAAGAAAGATTTTTTTTTGAATTAAAATTATTCATATTATATACTCTCGAAAATCGCTGTCAAAGCCAAAGTAGCTAAGCTTAATATAAAGAAAAAGAAAAAAAACGCGGTAAAATAAACGGTAATAAAATAATAATAATAATAATATAAACATTTAAAAAAAATCTAATTAAAATCGGTTAGCGTCTCGTATGAATCAATTTAACCATTCCTTATAAAGGAAGTAATGTTTTAAATTTATAATTTAAAGAAACAACATGCATATTTTTTTAAAGTCGTAATATGTCATAATCTACGAAACAAAATCATGGTGAGTAAGCATTAAAAGACTTGCACTGAGCTTGAGCACTTAAAATTTTTTCCGGGTCGGCGCAGAGTATTTATTTCTCTCATGAGATTAACATACTGTACATATACGATATCCCGGATTGCCGAAAATCTGATTTCATGTTAGTAATCGAAAAAAAAAAAAAAAAAATTTTCCTTATTAACAAAATTATGGAAACTATAGTTCCCCAGAATTGCCCTTGAAATTAAAATTTATATTTATACGTCGTGTAACAATTTGGATGATTGGTGGCCGAAAAATAAAATAAAATTATAAATTTTTTAATAACGTATTGAGAAACGATTTTTTTAAAAAAATATGTCGAATTTCGTCATTTAATACATTTATTAAATTACGTAAATATCATTATATTCCTTTTTTTGATTTCAGGAAAATAATATAATATTTTCTGGTTATTTCATTTAAGGTAATGTAACACTGATTTCTCAACCAATGAGCATAAGAACGCTTGATCATCTATAGGCATGAGTATCTTGTGATTGCGTAATTGATATTCGAATTAGCGCATGATAAATAAATAATAATAAATAAGGAATTTTGATTTTATGGGCCATTTACAGTACTCGTATCGTCATATAAAATTTTGTACAATTTTATTTCTATATCACGTCATATGATGTTAAAACGAATTCATTTGTTGGAGTAGCCGACATAAAATTAACTGACACCATTTTTTGCTGACATCAATTTTACCAATATGCAACTTCATTTCACCAAAGTGACGCTACTCCAAAGAATTGAAAGAATTAAATGTATGATAATTTCGATATAATGCTAAAGGTTTAATTTTGATATCTTTAATTTATATTGGTCAATTATGATTAATTCTAATAATTACATAAAAAAAAAAAGTAAAGGAAATTAATTGAAAGATAAAAATATTTCATCATTTCTCACGGAGAAAAAGACGTAATATATATATATATATTATTTTTACATTATATTAAAGATTAAAGGTATACGTTTTAAAAACTTTGATAACTTTTAAATCGAAAAAAATTTTAAAATTAAATTATTAAATATCTTAAGTTCCTTTTAAAAAAAATATTATATTACGAATACATTATTAAAATCTTTTTGGTTCAGCTTCCTATAGGATGAATCCTAGTTTTATGACGGGTTTCTCTTACTTATAATTCTTTTACGTCGTGAATTTTTCGAATTTTTTTCATGTTCATTTTGCGATCGTTTTCGAAATGGGTTTGTTCTTGACGGAACAAAATTTAATGGATATGGACTTGTTTCGCGTTTTACATGACTAATCAAAATGTTAAGACTTTTATAATGTTGAGGTGCTAAAGAAAAAAAAACCATGCAAAATGAGTGATTATCGAAGTAACCGAAGAAGGAGAACTGGAGATGTCAGTATGAATTTAACTTACAGATTCTTATATTTAATTCAGATTCGTCCTTTAAATTACTTGCCAATACGATACTAATGTTAATTAATATCAAACAGAAAATACTATCAATATTAAATCTCATAGTTCACTATTTGCAATAAAAAAAAAAAAAAGAAACATATTTTAATATATTATATATATATAATCTTTTTTATATCCATTTAAAAAGAAGCCTCTAAAATGGAATTCACATGGGATCATTTATGTCGATCATTACGTGGCTATGGCTTAGTTTTAGGAATGTGTAGCCGTGAATTGATAACACGTATAATGTGTCGTGGCACTATTCACAAAAATAATGAAATTTTTGTGGCGGAGGATAACTATTAACAATGAAACCATCACGTAGTATGTATGCTATGATTCAGTGAAACTAGACCAATCGGATTACTTAACTCCTTATTAAGGAGGATCTCAGCATCCCGTAATTAAATTTATCAGTTAATATGGTCGATTAAAATGAGCGGTAAGATTTTTTATGGCGATTTTTAAAGTTAATCCGTAATTGGGTAATCATACACCATCAATTAATAGAATTAATGATCCTTTATGTAAAAACAAAAGATTTATCGCTTTTTTTATTATAACGCATATAAGAATTGAAAGAATTGAAATATTTAATTATACCTATAGATTTATATTATAGAATCACAAAATTTTTACGTTCGTGCAACTTGATTCAGCTTTTTACGAGCGAAATGAAAAATATATTGAATTTTTCCTCATATTATTTAATGGGATGTTTTTATGATCCTTTCGAAACGGAAGAATAAAATATAACGGATTTGAGATTTGTTTTTCTTATCAAGAAAAATGGTGGAATTATATAAGTATGTTGAAGTGTGCTAAAAAAAAGACGTAATAATATATGGAAATTATCGAAATAGTCGAAGAAAGAATATTAACATATATAAAAAATTATTTAATCCATCTTTTAAATTAATTATTAATGCTTAATTATAATTATAATCATCATTGAGCATTTTATACGATAAAAATATATTGTATTAATCATATAAACAAATAAAAATTAACCATTTAATATTGACATAAATTTAATCAAAGAAATCCTATAATGTAGGCGCAACAAGTATTTTATTTCTTAAAATTGATTTCACTGAATTAACAAAAATGTACACATCTGAATCGATTGTAATTGATTAACTTGTAATAAAGACGAACAGATTTTATTACATAATTCAAGAATTATAAATATGAAAAATTTTAAAATAATAAATATAATAAAAAATAAAAAAAAAATATAATAAAATATAATAAAAAGGTTTTTTTTTTTTTTGGGAAGGGGGAAGCTATTCACAAAAAATCATCTACAAATTTATAAAGAGAGAATAGGAAAGGGAAAGGAGGAATGTACTAATTAAAATTCTTTATTCTACTACAAATCTAATATTTTCAGAAATATTTAAGAAAAATTTTTTTTTGAAAAATCCGCTTTCTTCATCTCGTGTTGCTTCTTTAGTAGTCCTTCTTCTTGTGTTCCTTCTTGTAGTAGTCGTCCTTTACATAAGGATTATAGTAAGGATCGTAGTATTTTCCACCTTGTTTGTATGGATCATAATAATCGTCGTGTTTCTTGTAATCATTCGCTTCGGCTGAGGCGTCTCGCTTGTAGCTGCTCTTGTGGTGCTTGCTGTATTTATCGTAATCATCGTAGCTATCATAATCGTCGTATTTGTTGTAACCACTGGCGTCTGCTACGGCTGAGGCGTCTCGCTTGTAGCTGCTCTTGTGGTGCTTGCTGTATTTATCGTAATCATCGTAGCTATCATAATCGTCGTATTTGTTGTAACCACTGGCGTCTGCTACGGCTGAGGCGTCTCGCTTGTAACTACTCTTGTGGTGCTTCTTGTGGTATTTATCGTATTTATTATAATAATCGTCATAATCCTTGTAATCATGGGCTTCGGCTACGGCGTCTCGCTTGTAGCTACTTTTGTGGTGCTTCTTGTGGTATTTATCGTATTTATTATAATAATCGTCATATTCCTTGTAATCATGGGCTTCTGCTAACGCGTCACGTTTTTGAACTAAATTTATTTTTTTAAACAAAAATACATATTCGCATATATTAATTATAAGAATAAAAATATAAATATAAACATATTTCAAATCAAATAAAAAATTCTCTTAATTTTACCAGGGCTGCCATTAGTAACAGTGCTGCCAACGGCAAGCAATGCCAACATTATAAGACTGAACTTCATCTTTATTTTTTTTTCTTTCGAATTATTATATTTATTATATTTTTTTGAATTCGAATGAACTGAAGAAACAAATTGGTAGGGAAGATACGTGGGGTTTTTATACAAAATTTTCAAAAAAAAACTTACTAAGAAAAAAATATTTAAGTTTATTTTTTTTTTCCCCCCCCCATTCAAGGAACGCCTGATTTCTCAAAAATGAATTTTCCGCGGTATATTTTCATTTTGACGGATAATAAAAAAAGTAAAGCCACTTTAAAACAAATTGGTAAGTTTTACTTTTTTGAATCAAAGCCTCCATTTGTCAAAAAAAAAAACAAAAACATTATACGATTCCCGATACACACGTTCAATCTTAAGATCCATAAGCCTCAATAATTATTAAATTTACCGAATTTACTAAGATTGCATTTAAGTAATTAACCTTAAATCAGCATTAACCTGTTCATCAAAAGTATTTGATAAGCTTAATAACAAGTCAATTATGGCTTGGATTAGGCTTAGATTTACATTAATTAGATTCATCGAAAATTGATTGACTGCAGATATAACCTTATTTGTAGTGAATTTAATAAAGCGGCTTAAATGACGCGAAATTTCAAAAGAGGACTAAGATAACCAAAATAATAATTGTATTACGAATTTCGATCAATGAGAAAATAAAATTATGATAATTTTCCACAATTTTCAAGATAAAATCAAGATGTTGAGAAATAAATTATGAATTTGAATAATTGTGTTTATTTTTAGCCACATCTTACGATCTGCGCTCGATTTTGTATTTGTGGCTTTTAAAACATCCCGTACAATAAATAAGTAATATTGTTTATTAATATATTAATATTATTTTAATCCTAACCGAATCTCATTCTTTCGATTAGAAAATTCTATAATTAAAATTTTTTCTTTTGGGGAATTTGTAATCATAGTAAATTTTGAAATTTTTTCTTTTGGGAATCTGTAATCATATTAAATTATAATTGGGGCTTGCTTTATTTGGGGCTATGAAAGAACAATTATAGTAATTTGATAATTAATGTAAATTTAGAAATTTTAGCTCGTTGAATGATTGAAAATTTCCGTGAGGCTTTGAGTTCTATTTTTAGAAATGCGATTGGCATGACGTTTACATAATGGTGTAACCTATGATTTTCCTATTGTTAAACCTCTCAACGAGGGAAGTTATACACGATAGAAAATAAGATATTAATTATATTTTACAGAAGATTATACATACAATGAAATGCAATGAAAAACAATCAAAAATGCTAAAATCTTAATATTTTATTATTTCATTACGTAAAAATTCGTTTATAAGATTTATCATGTGATAAATCGAGCGACAATCGCGATCTTTTGCGTTTCATACGCAGAATTTCAAACACAGCCTCATATTTTCATAAAAAAGCCACATATTTTCATTGTGTTAATGAATTTTTTTTTTTTGCCTTGGTAATACCAGAATTTTAATTAATATAACGTGATAAATCATGCGTATGAGTTTTTTTTGGCTGGGGGAAGAAATTTCTTTAATTTAACCCTAAATAATAATATAGATTAATTCACGATTTAAATCTTGTAATTATATCTTAACGAATGAAAGTACTTTATTGAAGTAAGAATAATCATATTTTCTTTTGTTTTACTTTATGAGAATGTAAAATTTTTGATACTTGTTTAATCGATCAAAGTTTTTAGAAATCCAAAATGATTTTTCGAAGGACGCGTTTAAAAGGCATTTATTGATATAAATCGTCATCTTTAATGAACAAATAGATCTTTTTTTATGAACAAATCAATTTAGATAACCCTGCCGATGATTGGATGAGAATGTGTTACGTAATTATCAGTATACGACGTAATTATATACGTAATAAGTAATACGTCATTCAATAATTAGCTCTTAAACTTACACAGTGAATTAATTCATTAATATTAGATATTTTACGAAAGTGGTCTTTAGAATAATTACTAAGCATTATTTCAATCATGTACAAATCCATAGCGCAGTGTTGGGTTTTGGACTTGTCCAATTGGTTTTTTTAATTGGACAATTTTGGACTGTCCAAAACCAGTTTTGGACATAGTTTGGACATAGTTTTGGACAGTTTAAAACTGCTCAAGAGTCCTAATATTTATTAACTGAAACTAAAAATAAAATGAAAATATAATGTTAAAATGTTAAAAAAGTAAATATTTAATATAATTAAATAATAAAAATTAATGTAAAATCAAAATAATATTAAAAATTAACATTTAAAGATTTTTGAAGTAATTTAATAATTGAACTAAAATTAAAATTAGCCAAAATTAGTCATAATTCTGGCCAAAATTAAATTTTTTGTCATGTGATCTGTCCAAAACCTGTCCAATGAAAAAAAGGTTTTGGTTTTGGACAAGTTTTGGACAGGTTTTGGACAAATGTCCAAAACGTTCAATTGTCCAATTACCCAACACTGCATAGCGGATGTCTTAATATAATTATCTTAATAATTCAATTAAAGAATTTATCGATGAGATAAATCACTAAATACACCGTTAATTGTAGTTATTTATTGAACATTTTAATGAATGGACAAACGATTCAAATTTCATAAATTTTGGGTCATTTGGCAAAATTGATGTCAAGAACTTGCCGGTACAGTACATTGAAAATAAACACATGAAATTTGGCCAATCAATTCAACACCATTGCACTCTCGTTTTTACTGGTAAAACATTCGCGTATCAAATACACAGAGCAAATCACGTGTATATTTTATTTTTTTCTATTTGCCAACAACCCGACAACCAGGCAAGTTAACTTGCCAACTTATGGAATTTTGCTGTGATTCATAAAATGGAATGATTTATGACACTATTTAAATTTTAAGAGGAGAACAATTGTATCAAATATCAATTCACGCTACATTACATGTTCATCCTGAAATTTCTCAATTTTTGGTGAATATTCTTTATTATATAATTAAGATTTGTATCATTTTTGTAATTCGGTCTTCTAGCGTGTACTTGAGTCTCGGCTTTTGTCTCATATTTTAAAAATTATAGAATTCTTATATCATGTTAGACGGTAACTACCTTTTGAATGTCTTTTTCATCCAATGGGATTCTGATTCTTAATAATTTATTATTATAAAATCGTGATGATGTTTAAAAGTTACAAAACATAATTTATTATTATTATTAAACATCAGACTACTAATTTACAATTAAAAATCAAAAAGAAAATAAATAATTCATTAGTAGATATTCTTGAATCTTAAAAATTATCATTTTTTATTCTCGTGATCTGATATTATTTTGACTCCGAGTGCAATAATCTATATAAGGTATATTAGTTTATTGGTTCTCTACCAATAAAAAATGGGTTTTTTAATTTTTTAATTTTTGAACCTATAATTACAAAAGTCAAATAAGTATTGTTTTTATACCGCATTAACAAAAATCAGTGTAACACGCAGCATAGCATTAAAATAGCATTAAAATTATTAAAATTGCATATAATTCTATGCAATATCAATTATTTTCATATATTTTTTTTTTTAAAAAAAAATAAAATTATTTATTGAATAATTTAGATTTAAATAAAAGTTTCTGCTTTCTAATTATTTACAGATATGATTGAACCAGTAAGTGATAAAGAATAAATGACTTGAAACGTACTAAATTCTGAATTTTTAATCGACGGAAAATCTTTCACATCAAATATTTGAAATAAAATGTACAACAACGTACAATGCATAGTAAAAATTTATGAATGCATTTAAAATGTAAATAAAACTTCCTTTCTAGAACGATAACATCATTTTTTAATGGTCCACAAAAAACACACAAAAACAAATGGCTATCGGTAACTTTTGGGCAGAATTATAGCATTAAATGAGGCGAGAATTCATAATCACGTGAAAGCAAGAATATTGTACAAGAAAATACAGATAACTTTATTCCCATTGATTGATTGGCAATCAGGTTCATTTAATGGGAAACTGATGGTAAAGTTTTGATTAAAGCGAATAAATACCAAATAAAGTTCGTTTCGGATTATCAAAATGTTCACTGTACGTTCAATTTTCCATTAGTCTAACGATTCAATTAACTAGTATGATAAAATTAAATTAAATTATCTATATTGTATTATTGTATTAAATACCGCAGTTGATTTCAGGAAAAAGGTACAAGACAACGTAAACAGCAACGGCAACAAGAAGAACACCTCGCAAATATTCTTGAAGAATTCAGTAATTCACAATCTTAGGATATTAATTATCTATAATAATTGTTACAAATAAAATTTAATTACCTCTTCTTACTCTTCTGCAGGAAACGAATATTATTATTTATTTATTTTCAATAAAAATTTGATCTTTTTAATTAAAAGAAATATTCGTAATAAGGGTACGTGTATTTGCGAGATTAGACCTTGTGGATTTTGTAAATAAATACACTAACAACATGTATTACAGTACATATTACGATATTATATAATAATATTTTTTTTAAAAAATTATTTACAATTTAAAGAAAAAAAATTTTTTACAAATTTACAATCACAACAAATTATCACCCAAGAATTTACAACGTTATGATTTACTCATAATATTATGGAATCTGATATAACATCCATAGCATCGTAAAATTGACCGGATCTTGAATCATTGATATCGTATGTACTGAACGAACTGATTTCGATATCTTTAATAATTAAAAAAGAATCATTAATCGTTATAATTTATTAAATGAAATATAACATCTTATTATTTACCCTTTAAAAGTCTTATAAAAGATTTATTTTCTTGACTAAGATAGATCATTGTTAAGAGTATAAATAATGTTACGGTTGAAAGAAAATATCTGGTCTTTAATTTAAACATTTTTTTTTTTTTTTCGAAAGAAATGAAATAAATGAGATGATTTCTTAAATTTCTCTATTTTAAATAAAACTACTGTCGGTGTGCACGTTTAATTTATAAGGCTTGTGCACAAAGCCATTTTAAGAAAATCCCACACACACAAGCCTTAAAACCGGTGCATCTTTTTTATCTAAGCCTCTATGAAAAATCATTATATCATTATCACTAATATTTAGTGCAATCATAATATTGTAATATTAATCATATCATATGAAAAATCGTTAATCACTTTTTTACCGGTGAAATGTAACTTTAGTTCCGGTGTTATTTTGTGCAAATTTTTAGGTATCATTTAGCCATAAATAATTTTTAACGGATTTGAAATTCCAGTATTTCATGTTTAGTGAATGGTGCCTATTAAAATCAATTATAATTTTTAATGAATTCCTTTTTAAGGACGAAATTATCCTAATAGATTTAAAGTAAAACTTTCCATCAACGTATTATGATGTATTTCAAATTATCTTAACTATTTCTAAAAAAAAGTTTCGGATTTTGGACGGTTTCTCCAATTCCGGCATTTTGAAATCTGCAAATCAGATTCTTTATATTCTCTAATGCAAATCATGTGATTAATTAAGTGTTAATTTTGATTTTTGATTATCTGTTATCAAATCTTTTTTGTTCGCGTAATGTCGACAGGTAATTAAGTAAAAATTATTCTTATTATAATTTTATATTAACCTTTTCTCGTTTTAGATAAGCTTTATGTTTTGGTTGTTGGTTCCGGAGGTCGCGAACATGCTATTGCTTGGAATTTATCTCGTTCTTCTCGGGTAGAACGAATTTATGTAGCGCCAGGTTTGTAGACTGTATTTTTTAACGGTGTTTGTTTCTTTTAGAAAATCTGTTAATAAATTATCCTTTAATGCTTCTCAGGAAATGGAGGCACAGAAAGTGGTATTGACAAAGTATCTAATATCAACATTGGCGTTAGCGACTTTTTTTCCCTGACAAAATTTGCGCAGGAAAATAACGTATGAATTTTATTTTATTTTTTTTTTCTTGTTTTGTGATGAAGTTTGTAATTGATCATTTTATTTTACAGATCAATTTGGTTATACCAGGTCCTGAACAACCACTTGTTGATGGCATCGAGTCAGCCTTTAAGAAGAGTAAGTTTAATTGACATTATAATACTTTGATTAAATAATCTAAACAAAATAAAAACTCTCGGGTTATCATCAATTTTTTGAAATAGTTGGAATTCCATGTTTTGGACCTTCATCTAAGGCTGCTATGATGGAAGGATCGAAGACATTTGCAAAGGATTTTATGAAAAGACATCAAATTCCAACGGCAACTTATGAGGTTATTTTAGATCAAATGATCCTTTTATGCGTCATTAATTAAATTGTATTCTCATGTTAATTTATTTGTAGAATTTTTCAGATTACGGAAAGGCAAAGGCTTATTTGGAATCAGTATCTCATAAAGTTGTCTTAAAGGTAAAAAAAAAATGGTTCTTCAACCTAAAAATATTCATTAATATATAAAGTTTTTTTTTTTCGTTCTCAAGGCTTCGGGTCTTGCTGGTGGTAAGGGAGTCCTAATTCCTGCCGATAAACAAGAAGCATTGTTTGCATTGAAAGAAATAATGGTTGATAAAGTATTTGGATCAGCGGGTAATGAAGTAGTTATTGAGGAATTTCTTGAAGGTCAAGAATTAAGTATATTAGCATTCTCGGATGGTTATACAATTGTCCCTCTTCCTCCTGCTCAGGATCATAAACGTATTTTTGATGGTGATCAAGTGATTATTCCCGTTTTATCTTCAAAAAATTTGTATATAAATATCTTTTAATTCTTTTTTTTCGTGGAATTATTTTTGTAGGGGCCAAATACTGGTGGAATGGGATGTTATTGTCCAACTCCTATCGCTATTCCTGAACTTATTGCTCAAATTAAAAATGAGATCCTACAGCCTACTATAGATGGCATGCGACGTGATGGTATATCTTTATTTTGGTAATACCTAGAATTTTATGAGAATTCATTTATGAATAAAAATTTTTTTTTTTTTTTTTAGGTTTCCCATTTGTTGGTATGCTTTTTACTGGGCTCATGATAACAAGTTCCGGGCCTAAAGTGTTGGAATATAACGTACGATTTGGAGATCCAGAGACTGAAGTTGTCTTACCACTTTTAAGTGATAAATCGGATTTGGCAGAAATTATATTGGTAATATTGATTCTTTTAACAATCAATTAAATTATTAGATTTTAACCTGTACTCTAATCATAGGCTTGTGTTGAGAGACGATTAGACTCAGTAAATATTGAAATTAAGCCGGGTTTTGCGGCTACTGTAGTTATTGCCTCTGACGGATATCCCGGAAGTTATCTCAAAGGAAAAGAAATTACTTTTAATGATGTTCCTTCTGGTAAAAAAATAATTTTCTCTAGTGCAGTTCATTTTTGTCAATAATAATATAAAAAAAAAAAAGAATTCATCATTTAATTATTCAGATACGATAATTTTTCATGCTGGTACGAGCATTAAAGAAGGGAAACTTGTCACATCTGGTGGTCGCGTACTTGCAGTGACGGGTGTGGCGTCTACATTAAGAAATGCTGTTGATAAAGCATATGAATGTGTAAAGTCTATCAGTTTTGATAAAATGTATTTTAGAAAAGATATCGCTCACCGGTATAGAAATTTAGATTGATTCTATCCCATTTATGGTTTACGTACATATACTTATAATTTTTTAATTAGTGCCTTTGCGTATTTATCCCAGCAACCTGCCAAGGATAATGTAATGACGTACGCGTCTGCCGGCGTTTCTATTGATTCTGGCAATCTTCTTGTTAAAAATATCAAATCATATGTGAAAAGTACTCAACGTCCAGGTTCTGATTGTGAAATAGGAGGCTTCGGTGGATTGTTTGATTTGAAAGCCGCTGGATTTAATGACCCAATTTTGGTATCTACTACCGATGGGGTGGGAACTAAGTTAAAAATAGCTCAGGCAATGAATTTACATGATACTATCGGTAAGTAGTTTTTGGATGTGTAGATAAATAATAATTATTAATATTATTAATTCTATTATTTTAATCATTTAGGCATTGATCTTGTCGCTATGAACGTAAATGATCTTATCGTGCAGGGCGCGGAACCATTACTTTTCCTTGATTATTATGCATGCGGTAAATTAGAAGTTGAGGTCGCACAAAATGTAGTGAAAGGAATTGCTGATGGGTGTCTTGAATCTGGATGTGCTTTAATTGGTGGCGAAACTTCAGAGATGCCCGGTGTATATAATAATGGTGAAATTTACTCTAGCGTATTGAACTAATTATCTTGTCAAATTCTTATTAAACATTTTTTTTTTTTTTTTTTTTATTAGTCTGAATATTCTTTTTAAAAAATCTCTTTTTCAATTTTTATTTTATTTTTCTTCGAATCGTAAATTTTTTACAATAAAAGACCCATTCTTTTTTTTTTTTTTTTTTTAGGCGAATATGATTTGGCAGGATTTGCAACGGGAGCGGTAGAACGTAAAAATGTCCTTCCGCGCATATCTGATATAAAAGTCGATGATGTTTTAATAGGAATCACATCATCCGGTTTACATTCCAACGGATTTTCGTTAGTCCGTAAAATCATCAATAAGTACAACCTTGAATATAAATCACCATGTCCATGGGATTCAACAATTTCATTAGGTGAAAGCCTTCTCACACCAACAAAAATTTATGTTAAACAATTGCTACCTGTTGTCAAGGAGGGACTTGTAAAAGCAATGGCACATATTACGGGTGGAGGGTTTATAGATAATATACCGAGAATTTTGCCTAAAGATCTTGGAGTTTCCATAGATTCAAACGTTTGGGAATTACCAAAAGTATTTAAATGGTTGAAAGAAAATGGAAATATACCTTCAGGTAAGATAAGTGCTTTTGAAATATTTAATTAAATTTGACAAATTGATAAATTCTCAATACTTCTAATATCTCATAATCCAATAGATGAATTGTTTCGAACATTTAATTGTGGAATTGGAATGGTGTTAGTAGTTTCATCTGATAATGAAATAAGAGTTAAAAAATTACTTCAACAATACGAATCGAATGTTTATACAATTGGACGGGTTGTAACGAAGCAAACAAATAATGATAAACACGTTGTAATTAAAGGGATTTAACAAATAATTTTGATTTAAATTTTAATGACTATAAAACTATATGTGATTATAATGTGATATAATAAAATATATAAGACACGGAAGAAAAATTATTAATGTATTTTCCAAGTTATATTTACAAATATAATATTATGCAATTAAATTTTATTTATTTTTTTTTTTTTATGATTAGCTATTAATGAAAATATTTTTTTTTTTTTTTGGTTGATGATTTATGAAAACGGATGAATGTGATTATATATGTGTGTATAAAAAAGATTATATATGTATATCTCTAATGATAACAATTAATTTTATATTCCCATTATTAAAATTATAAACTCAAAAATTATTATTAATATTATCCATTGAGAGGACGACCGTATTCTTATAGCAGCATTTGATTTAAAAGAAACATCCATTCCTAGGGAATTGCAACTGCCAGCATCACCATAGGTTGAGATAATTTTTGAATCAGGGCATCTAAAACCAAAACTGGCAGGACAAGATCTAGTTAAATTATAACACAGATCAACACAAGGAGCTAATTCCATATAAGGTTGATTAATGTTCATGGACTGGTCAGAAATTTTTATACGAGGTCGGTCCCTTAATTTACCATTATTTGAATCTTCACTGGCACAACGTGGAATTGTTATAGCGCAAATCCAATTTTTATAAGCTTCTTTACAATCATTACAATTTCTAATTAATGAATATTTTGATTCAGTGTCATTACAAGGATATTGATCTATTGTTAAAGTGAAATTATTAAAATATGATTTAGCAAGATTATCATATCCAATTGCTAACTCTGCTTCAGTATTTTTAGAAACTGTTTTTGGTACAGAATAAAAAACTCCATCGCAAAATTCCAGATTTTTTATTATTACACAATTACTTTCTAAAAACAAAAAAAAAAAAGAATTATTATATTTATTATATATATATATATATAATATATTTTTAAAATTAATAAATATACGAAAATAACTTACGAGATTGTGTTTGAAAATTAACAGGCGTAAAAGTTTTAATACCATCAGTTGATTCTTCTGTGACCAATGCGGAATATTTTGTACCATTTTTTAAATTATTTAAAAATATTGAAGTTTGATATTTCCCATATTTTTCACTTCTCGTATATGTGACATTTGTACTCCAGCCATTTTCCTTGTATGCACATGATGACATTGAAATTCCATTCACACGTGTAGATTCAACAAAATAAGTATAATATAAAGGTTGTTCTATACTAGTAGAAAATGTTCTAAGTAATGCATTATTATTATCAGTATCATCGAAAAATAATCCATTTTCAATAGGAGTTTGATGTACAAATCCTATATATATTATAGTGTTTATATAATTAAATATAATTAAGTAAATTAAACATAATTAATAATAATAACAATAAATTTAATTAATCTTACCTTTAGAAGAAGCTCCAATTTCAAAATAATAATCATTAAGATAATTATCAGATAATTTAGGCGCATAAACTCCTACATATACACCATCATAATTTCCTTTTGATATTGGTATAGTAACATTTAAATAACCATCTTTTAATATATATTTGTGACCATAACTATCAGGACCAGGATTTTTCGATTCTGTTGAAATCCAGACTTCTAATTGATTAGCAGGAGGCATTTTCGGATTTTTAATCAAATTTTGTAAAGGAGCTTTACAAGTGGTTATTGTAAAAAAAATATTTTCATTTAATAAAGTAGTTGAATTTGACAATGGGAAAGGACTTTTAATATCATCTTTCACATTTTTTCCTATTTGATATACATAATTAATAATTGAACCCTGAGGTAATTTTTCAATTTTTTCAGTTCCTAACTTTGCTATTATCGTTGTATTTGCTTGAGCTTCAATGGTAGGTATTATTAAAAAATAACATGTTATTATGAAAAATAAAGATATTATGTATTCATAACTTTGAAACATTACAAAAAAAATAAAAATAAAATAAAAATAAAAATAAAAGTTATAATATATATTAAAAGAATTTATTATTATTACTATTAAAAAAAATATTATAAAGGAGGGAAAATGAGTTTTTTTTCTCAAAAAAAAAAAAATTTCAAATCTACGTTAGAAGAAAAAAATTTTTTAAAGAGCAAATATAAATAATGTAAGGTTCAACAGTTTATTCCTATAACTTACAAATTCAAAATTAGGTTCAACCAAAACAAATTGATCATTTCCACATTTAATATAGCATTGTGAAACATTCTTAATTGCCAAGATTCATAAAATTAATTATTACCAGTTTTTGATGATCAAAGGATCTTCTAATTACATGTCACGTATTGTTTTCTCAATAAAGAAATTTCTTTAACGTTGGATCCGTTGCTTGAACGGATATTAATAATTTTGAAGATCTTTCAGATTAATAGATAGTTACCTGCAGATTTAAATAGTTTAGCGGGAGTCATTAAGTCAATGATCATCTATAATGACAAAGTTTTAAAATTTTATTTTCGTAATGTTGTAGTAATTGACTTAGAATTTAATATCCGACGGATATCCGGATTCCGGATAACGGATATCCAAAGTGTAATTTGTGTATAGCGAATCTATTGCTATATATAAAAAACATCAATTCCGCAAAGAATATCTATTCCCAAAATTTTTTGCTTCAAACACTTATTTGTAACTTTAAATTACAATTTTACTGAAAATTCAAACGGATAACGGATCCAGTCTCTAATTACGTAAAGTGTTGATCCAATCTTGAAACGCAAGCTAAGTGACCTATTCTGATTGCTAACTAAAAGTAAACAAATAGTCGATTCCATAATTTCCCGTATACAATAGGTAATGAAATGTACCATTATTGAGATCAACAATTATTATATTACAATGGCAGAGAGGAATAAGATGCTAACAAATAAAAGAAGAGTTTCAGAAATGTTATAATATCAATTCAGCATGTTTTTAATTGAAGATTTATTTACATTGAAAAGGACATTAATACATTATCAAATCTAAAACTACAAATTAAAAAATTAAAAGTAATTGATAGAAAATATTGATATGTCAAATATCAATCGATCATAAAAAATTTGCATAAAATGCTTACATGAGTCGTTGAGAGGCATTTATTAATTTGTGAAATAAAATAATTGAATGATAATGTAATAACCAATCGGAGATTAAAACAGTTCAACAAGGAATATCAATAATAAAGCGAGTTCTCGTTAACCAAAGCCGAGCAGTTCCAAAATTATGTAATAAATAATGTCCACGTGTTCATAAAGTGTCGGAAATAAAAATCGCGTTTGTTTGTAACTGCTTAAACTATCTACTTCAACAGGAACTTTGATATTTTCTGTATCCAAAGAAGAATCCCAAAACTAAAAATTTTACAGTGAATAATAGAGCATACCTATTAACTTCTTCTTGTTTCTTTTGAATGTTGCTTTAATTTCTCGTAATCCAATCAATGTGTTTATATCATTTCGTTTTGCTGCGCCGCAGTATGAAAAATTTCGGCATTGTTAAAGAATTTACTTCTTCTTATGGTGAGATGGGACCAATTTCCTGATCGGAGAAACCTAACGAAAAAGAATATGCAAGTTTTTAAGTTTTTGGTTATTATTTCCCACACTATATAAATATATATATATATATTATGTACCTTTCCTATTTCGGCTAAATCATCATTAATCTCGCTTTCAAGCAATCTGGCAGAAACTGATGGTCGTATTACACAGGAGTTAAGGAAATATTTACACAATGTATGACAAAACTGATTGTACAATGTAAATCACGTGTTTTAAAATCAACATAAATAAGGATATCAGTCACTTTAGTTTTTTTAACCTTTACTTCCGTATCTTCCTTTTGTCGCGCACGCAATTTTCTTTGTGGATGATATCGCTGATTTCCATCCATTGCTGCGTCTTTATCATTTTTAAGAACTATAAGTTTATTATAAAGTCGTTTAAAAAGTTTAAAAATTAAATTTCAGTACCGCTCGTTATATCGAAGCTTTCAAAATCTTCTTTCAATTTTTTTCTTCGTTCATCCATATCTGCCAACATTTGTTCTTTTAATCCTTGTTTCTCTGCCTATCAACAATGTTGTGAAAATAGGTAAAATAAAACTAATTAGTATAATAAAAGAAAATTATATATTTATATTTGCCAATACATATTTTATAAAAATATACCAAATAATCTTCTTCGACCTGTCGTTGTTCGGCATCAAACATTTTTTCTACGCATTCAAGTCTATAGTCTCTATATAACCTTGCTTTTTCGAGTGTCTGCTCGCGCTTATCAATAAGTTGCTGCAAACGTTCTTCATATTCCGGATGTGTACCTAAATACATATATGAATTAATGCGTTTTACGAAGTCCGACGCATTTAAAGAATTTATTTATTTATCATTTAATTCATAATAATTAGTTTTTTTAATAATCTTTTTACCTTCTCTCATTGCTTTTATATCTTGATTGATTTGTCTTATGCTTTCTTTAAATATCCTGTAAATCCAAAACAGAAAATTATTACAGGACGAGAGAATTCGTGATTGGTTTACGAATAATCGAACAACTTTGAAAGCGTAATGTCTAGCTTTATAATAACTCAGGCCAAACATGGCCTTTTCCAAGATAGAAAAAACAAAGAACATTTCATAAGACTTATACTTACTCATCCTTTCTACTAATAAATTCTTTTTGGAAACGCTCTATCCGGTCAAGTATCTCTTGTCGCTTTTTTTCTTTTTTCTGGTCAACTTGCGTTTCGCGGTGGTCTAATAAAAACGAAAAAGTTTTCGATTTCAAATAAAAAGAGAAGTAAAAAATAAGTACCTGACGTTTGAAAGCGTCTTATATATGGTTTAAAGTATTAAAAATAGGGTAGAAAAGTTTATTAGCGTCTAATTACCTTCGGAGGCCTCTCCCTCTTCTCGCTCATCATTGAATCTTCTCATGGACTCCTCATCGTCAATTCTCATGGGCTCTACTCCAAACTCCGAGTCACCGCCGTCAAAGGCCGTGTCTGTCATCATAGGGTCATAGTCCTCCGGAGAGTCAATTTCTGAAGAATTCCCCTCGAAATAATTTGGTTTAGTTGCGGTTTGACGTTTTGCTCGTTTTGAGTTAAGTGCCTTTTCTGAGGCTTTATGGGCGGAAGGTGGCATTTGTTGGAAAAGAAATATCTTATTTATTATTTAAGTCGTCCAGTTTTAAAATAAATCGGGATAAAGTTTTGGTTTTTTAAAAAACGATACAAAAGTGCTAAGTCAAACTACCATTAAATAAAAATGTTTGGTCTTTTTTTTAAAAATTACCACTAATAAAGGCTTTTTTCATCCAATCAGAAAATAACTTAATAACTAAGCCACCAAAATAAGATTGGATCAATCAGTTCGACTTTGTCGGTCTGGAGTTTTTCATAAAATTTCCTTTATTTCGTGATACTTTTTCAGATATATCTATGCTTGCAAAAGTCTATAAAAGGCCTGAATTGTATGTTTTATATCTTTATTGACAAAAATATCTACACCTTAACTTTGGCACAGAGATATTCTTTCGGAAAAAATGAATTCAAATACCAGAGGTCTCTAAACAATTTAACAGCATAATCTTCATATCATTACTTCATCTTCACTGTTAAAGTGAAATAATCGAGTTACCCACAAATATGGATTTTGTATATATTTGAGTTTCTGATTTTAAAAACATATATTTATATTGACTGCATATTCTAAGTATTCTTATATTTAAATTCAGTACTGAATTAATTTATTAGAAAAAAAATTAAAATTATTTTATTGCCAATATTAATTAAAAAATAAAGATAAAATTAATTACAGATATTAGATATATACTGTAAATTGCAAAAAAATCAAATTTTTCCTTATACGGTTCACTCTCATTATAGTGAGTGGAGATTAAAATTCGTTATAGTGAGAAATTCACTATACTGAGAATCATTTTATCATTATATAAGAATTCACCAGAGGGTATATTATATTTTACAAATTAATTGAAAATAATTATAAATAAATTAAAATCTAGTTTAGTTAACTAAATGAGATAATAAAATCAATAAAATGCAAATTTATTTTTATATTTAAACATTGATTATAACAACTAAAATTCAAATAATTACATTTTATAAAGTCAAAAAACCAAAGAATTATAAAAAACAAAAATAAATTACAGTATTATAAACCAAAATATTAAAAAACATGAAATTAAATTTGCTAAATCTAAATTTAAATATAAATTAAAAATCAAAAACAATAAATATAAATTAAATTCAAATATAATAAATGAAATAAAATTAAAAGTTTTAGCTTTTAAATATAATAAAACAAAGTTAAAAATAATAAAATCCAATTAAAAAAATAAGGACAGATAACTTTTAATATATAAGATTATAGTAAAAAATTAATTGGCTAATTTGTTATAATAAGAAATATTTAATACTTAATTAATATGTTAAGAAAAATTTATTATAAAATAAATTCATTATATTAAAAGTTAATTGTAATATTTATTATATTATATTTATTTATTATAAACTTTTACTTTTTTAAAAAAATTATATTAACTTGACTGTTAATTATTTGTTTAATATATTCTACTTTTTTTTATTTTTAATTTAAATTTTGATAAATATATGTTGTAACTGAAATTGAAATTTAATTGAATTTAAAATTCAGATATGGGAATTTCTGGAAAAGTTAATTGAATTTTAAATTCAAACATTGGAATTTTATTTGAAATTAAAATTCAGATATCTTAATTTCAGATAACCCTATAACTGAAATTTAAACATGTTAATCTTACATCTGAAATTCCAATTTAACTAAATTTAAATTCAGATACTTGAAGATTATATCTGAATTTAAATTTCAATTGGCTTTTTCAGAAATTCCTGTATTTGAATTTTAAATTCAGTCAAATTTTAATTTTAGTTACAATATATACAATAATTATATTTAAATATTTTCTTTAAATTTAAATTTTAATTTATTTAATAAAATCCCCTTTTTTTCTTAAATTTTCAAATTAAATAAATGATTAAGTTAAACTATGTATTTTTTTCTTATTAAAAATAATAGAATTAAATATAATAATATTTATATTATAGAGTTATTAGATACAAAGTATTCAATATAGAGATAGATATTAAATATAAATGAAGTACCTAATAATAGTTATATTTCTAATAGTTTTATGTAATTATAATAAATTAATCAATTTTACCCATATATAGCATATTACATCATTTATTACTTAGATATCATTTATTTTTAATAATAAATGATATAAATCATATAAAATTTTATAATTAGAATAAATAATATTTAAAGAAGAATAATTTATCAGATTTATAAGAAGATCAAATTGTAATACTTGATGATATTCCATTTGAAAAAATCTTATTTTATTAAAGTACTATAGAGTGGAAAAAAAAACTCATGATCAGATATATTTATTTACTAATTAATAATAACTTTTGGTGATATAGTTGCATTTATAAAAAGATAAAAAATATTGTTAATAATGTTATAATAAACCTAATAATAATATAACTAATTTTATTTTAAGTTTAAATTCATTAATTTTGAAAGAAGAAGGGGATGGATAAAAAGAAAAAAAATCAAATCAAATCAAATCAAAATCAGTATGGTTTAAATTAATAAATATAGTATCACTTATTTTTATTTTACTTTTATTTTTATTTGTATTTTGATGATTGCATTCTACTGGATAGATATAGCTTATGATAATTTATTTATATAATATATAAACTTAATATTAATAAAACATATAAAAATCATTAAAAAAAAAACATAAAATATAAACTTCTTTAACAATAATATAATATATATTATTTTCTAAATTGATTAATAAAAAAAAAATTTTTTAAGAATTTAAAAAATACTAAAATAATTAAAAATTTTATAAAAAAAAAAGTAAGTATTGATTATTACTAAAAAAATTTAAAAAAAAAATTTAAAAAAATATTATAATAGTATTATAATAAATATATAAATAAAAATAAGAAAAGTAATGGAAGGAAAATTTTCAAATATAGTGAACAGTGGTCAGTTGCTTTAGAAAAAACAAGATAATATATAAATCAATTTATTAAAGATGGAAATAGGGTAATTTGGAAGGCATATAATAATTTCAAATTATATAAATACAAATATAGTTCTTCTTTTTGTTTAGAGGGTAGTGAAAGCATTTACTAAAGCCATATGATAATGATGATCCTATACACTGGTAAAAAAATGATTTATCCTACACATATCTTACACATATTGGGTACTCAAAATGTAGAAAATCATACACAAATAATACACATATCATACACATATTGGGTACTAATATATATATCATACATATATCAGATACCTGATAGGTATACTATATATATAAG